ATCATCTGGGTGGCGATTGGCTCTAGGAGCCTGTTTCACTTTGGCGCAGGCCATTGAGTTGGATGTCAGGGTGGCGCTGGGTGTTACCTGGGGTTTCGGTGCTATTTTTAGCTGTTCCGGGTGGTGGGGTTGAGACGCTACCCCTCTAAGGGTAGCGCAACAGGGTTCTGAGGTTATTCAGTGAAAACGATGCTCTGAGTTTAATAGACAGTTGTAATACTGTGTTTTGAGTTGTCATCTCTTCACTGATTTCTGGTTGTGATCACTCGGTTGTCTTCTATGAATGATTGTCGGGATTACAGTGGAGAGAATTCACTGAAATGTGTATTCTGTCACTTTGCTTCTTCGAGTCTTTCGCTACGTTTCCTTTTCTGGGCGGTGTGACCCTCTACTACCTCTCCCCTTCCTTCTGTGCATGTATGGGCGTGTATGGGAGTTCCTGTGAGTGAAGTGTTGACAAAATTTCAACTGACAATCATGTTCATAACAATGCAGTCAACGCAAAGTGAATGGCCACAAGTAAGAGTCCCAACCAGTGCTACTCAAAACCTGGTCGGTGGACCATTGCAGAGAGCGAAGTCGTATGCCCGGGCATGCTCTGCTAGGCTGTTTGCGTACCCAACCAGAGATATCAGAAGCAAGATTATTAACATGAGTAAGAGTCTATTTATGTTCAAGTGTGTTTGGAGCATCAAAACGTTGTGATGGTGCTGCATGGTGTGATTATTATGTTTCCATATAATCCTTGCCCTCCAATTAGAAGAGTTCTCTGTATCCTCCCTTGTTTAACCTAATAGGAGTTGGTGCCAACCTAAGAAAGTGCACTTGACAGAAGAACTCTTACTCAGTAATCAGTACAAGGGTCGTAGTGGACTGCATGCTATTCACCGTGAACCTGGTCTGGGTGCATGTGTGAATTCAGAGCAGAAGAGCAACCGCAGTGGCGTATCACTGTGATAACCATGAAGCTCGAGTTGTAATGCACACGCGCTGAATGTCATATCAACATGAAGCTCTCCATCTACAAAATTGATGCCAGACAGATTAATGTTAGGGGCAAGTACGTTCGTGCAGGCCGCGCGACTCGTGTCGCGCTTACACGTGTTCACACGGGATGATTGCTTTGTTGCTGACGCGGAATAGCCACATCCAATCAGGCAATATCCCCGCAATCGTTAACCTTTTTATATGTGGTGGGTTGTGAATCGGCGTACGGGGACACGTGTACGGGCACCGACCAGATCGCACCTACGCGTGCCCCTGCGCGGCGTTCACTGGTTTCTGGGCAAAACAGCTATCCGATCATCTAATCACTCCGTAAGTTCTGAGCCGGCAAGACGCAACAATCGCAACAGCTCAATCGATGGGTATCCGAGAACGGAAGCAGTATTAATGACTGCGCAAAATTCCTGCCCTACTCATGAATGCATCAAAATGATTAGCAAAGGCAAATATCATGCATACGGACAAGCAAACAGACATACATCCATTTATTCAACATAGCACACAACATCAAAGATTGAAGTCACAACAATGAGTGTAGACGAAAGAAAACCAAGCCAAGATTCCGAAAACAAAGACGGGCAA